CATAATATTGTACGTCAACCATATTCCAACTTCAAAAAAACTAACAGAAAAACAAATTAAAAAAACAGGCAGCAGACCGTATTTAGCCCTCAAGCATGGTTTGCTGATCCCTGCACTGAATCATAATTCTTTGTGCCTAACAAAATGTCTTCTTTCCAACAATTACTCATTAAATGTTTGACCAATGGGGCAGGAAGTCCTGGTTGCTTTCCTTTAGTTAATATTAACGTGGGAAAATTGCATATCCCTACAAATAACAAGTAAGCTATCTCAAAGTTCAAATAGGAACTGAAGATCCCTAGTTGAGAAAGAGATTAAATCCAACACTAGGCTTTAATGGTTCTGTTGGTGTCTGCCGTCGTCACACACTGATACGAAAGGGGTACGGCTATGAGGATACACACACAAGGAAGGAGCATAAGGATTAGAGCCTCGATTTGAAAATCAGATGTATTTTTATTGAAGGAGTTAATTTTATAATTTTATTTAACTTCCAAAATTCTGCAAGCAAGATCTTACTCTTCCAATTATACATATATAGCACTTAGGACAGACTAACACATATAGACTTAATTACATTTCGTAAAACATTTTAAGTGATTCTGAAATAGCACTGCTGGAAGACATGCTCTCTGAAAAATTTCCAGGCCACAAAACATTTAACACAGTATCTCACTTAGCTAATCCCAGTAGCTAAGCCTTCGATGTTACGCACTGGACATATTTTATATACTTTTAATATGCTGTAAGTATCTCTTAAATTTGCACCTGATTCATCTGTGATCTTAAAGTATAAATGGCAACCCGGAGGCAGGTAAAGGGCCACTGAACCCCAGCTCCTCCCTTGCCTCCATCCCCTCTATTTTGTTATTATCCTGCTTCCATGTGAGGGGAATTTCTCTTCCCTTCAGCTGTGTGCCTATGCCCTGCTCTATCTCTGTTTCACTCTCTGGTTGTGCAGCTGCAGAACTGATGGTGCCAAAGAGAAAAAGTGATGTTAAACCACCAGGGAAGAAGAATCTTCTTAAGATGACCAACTATGGAGCCAGGTGCCTTATATACGTTCTCATCTATCCCTCATATTAGCCTGATGTGGTACTATTATCCCAATTTTTCAGATGAGAAAACAGTCTCCGAAAGATTAAGGAAACTGCCTAGCGACTAGAGTAACCAACCACCCCGGTTTGCCCGAGACGGAGGGAGCTCCTGGGAATGTGGGACTTCACTTTTAAAATTGGGACAGTTTGGGGCAAAGCTGATCATCTACTAAGGACACACAGCCCTTTCATAGGTTCAGATTTGAGCCAGGTCAGTTGGGCGCCAAAGCCCATGCACTTTTTCTCAGAACTCCTTCTTCTCCCAAACAAACTCCCTCTCAAACCTCAGAAAGAAGTCCCACTACTTTCCTCCCCTAAAGGTTCCTGGGCCCAACTTAATTCTGATGTTAAAGAGCCTCTTATTCTGCTTTTTCTTTGCAATGTATACAAATCTTTCTTAACTCACTAATACGGTGCACCCAAAGGACCACCACTCACAGCTTGAATGGGACAATGAAAAATTAAAGTGAAGATTAAAAGGCAGGGGCTTCCCTGGTGGTGCAGTGGTTGAGGGTCCGCCTGCCGATGCAGGGGACACGGGTTCGTGCCCCGGTCCGGGAAGATCCCACATGCCGCGGATCGGCTGGGCCCGTGAGCCATGGCCGCTGAGCCTGCGCGTCCGGAGCCTGTGCTCCGCAACGGGAGAGGCCGCAACAGTGAGAGGCCCGCGTACCGCAAAAAAAAAAAAAAAAGATTAAAAGGCAAAAGGGCCTACAGAAGACTGACGTCTTTTCAACCCTATTTCTCCTTTACTATCATTAGCAGTAAAACCCCTTTGGGGGTGGGAAGGTGAGGCAGTGGTTAGGCAACTAAAAAATAAATTGTTTGTGCCTCAAGGATGTGAGGATGGGAATGAAGTGAGCCTATTTTTTCCCCATGGGGGACTGAGGTAAAGATGAACATCCTAATTTAAAGTGAAAAAATAAATGCAGTATAAGGAAGGCAGAGCAGTTCCTCGGGTCCACGTGTTTTAAGGGATGGTATCAGCAGGTAGCTGAGGGGTTAGTGGTGGCTCAGACTCAAGAAGTGTGTCTAAGGATTACATCATCAGGAGGCCTCAGCCCTGTCACTGATCCTTATTCTCCAACGTCCCCATTGCAACCCCTCAGAACCCCAGGCTTGGCCTTGGGCTTACTACCTTCTCCATTGTTACTGTGTCTCCAGTCTCGGGAACCACCAATAAGACTTAAAGAAGACTTGAAAGCGGGTGGCACTGAGAATGTGCTCTGGCAACCCAAGTAGAAACCAAGTACAAATTACAGAATGTTTCTGCAGGAAAACAGGTTCTTCTCAACAACTCAGTGTCATACCAAAACTACTGTAACAAAACTGTATGCAAAAGAAGATCTAAGTACTTCCTCAAAGGCAAAGGGGCATTACTTCCACAGTACCTAGGGCAGTGCTAACATGAATGTTTAACAAATAGTATTTCCTAAATGAACTTCCCATGCTTGAGAAATTTCACTGTTTTTCCTTCGGTTTTACTTCACTAACTCCCAGCATGTGAGACACAGCCCATGAGTCAGTGGATACGCCCTACACTCTGGCTACTCAATGTGTCGTCCACAGACTAGCTGCATCTGCAACACCTGAGACATGACCGAATTAGCATTTGTATTTACTTAAAAAAAAAAAAATCCCCAGGCAAATCTCATGCACATCAAAGTTGGAGAAGCACTGCTTTAGAAGTTTGCTATATACAGATCCTTCCAATCCCCAACTCCCATCTCCACACCAGCGTCTGAAAAGATGGAGCGCACGCCCCGCACCGGGCCAGCAATTAACCCACGCAGCGGTTGGGACCCTTGTCATCCCCGGGACAGCCTTCCTCCTTGACAGTCTGTCATCCGCTCACCTTGATACGCTCCCCATCAATCTCCACCGCTCGTTCTCGGAAATCCACCCCGATAGTAGCCTCGGTGCGGTCGGGGAAGCGGCCGGCGCAGAAGCGGTAGGTCAGGCACGTCTTGCCCACATTGGAGTCGCCAATCACGATGATCTTGAAGATGCGGGAGCGAGCCGGAGGCAGAAACCCTGAGGCCCCTGACATCGCACCGCTGGATGAGAAGCTCGCCTCGAGCGACGACTCCATCTCCGAAGCCATTCTCCTGCCCCGCCCCAAACCGAGGCGGAGGAAAGGAGACGCAGAGAGGCTGGGAGATTACGCCACCGTCGGCGAGCTCGCCCAGTCCGCGGGCTCCGTCGCTCAACGTTCCGGGAGCCACCGCCCTCCGGGCCGCCAGCGCGCGTGCGCACCTTCCCGCCCCACCCCGCCCCGCGCAGGTGTGGCGTCCCCCCAGACCAGCCTCGCCGACCCTCCCGCCCGGCCCGCGGCTCCACCCCGGCGTCACTCAGGCCTGCGCCGTCTACCTGGGAAGGGACGGGGCCTGTCGGGGGCTTGAAGGTGGCGCGGAGGGCCAGCTGCCGAGAGGCCGAGCAGAGCGCCCCAGGCCCGGCACCCTGGCTGGCCGGGCCCCGCCACGTCCAAGGCTCCCGCCCCCCGGAGGAAGCCGCGCGAGCACTCTGGGGGCGGGGAGAGAAAGACTGCTGAAGGGAAGGAGGTGCCACCAGGCACTCTCTCGCGAGAGGGCCGAAGAGCCGTTTCGGCGGGGGCGTGTGCCTGCTGAGGACGTGTAAGGTCTCCGGAAGCTTCGGGCGTCGCGTTCGGCGCTCTCACCGATGTATCGGTGGGGCTTCCCCGGACCTGGAGGTGGAGGCGGGTTCCCTTGGCTTGCAGCTGGGGGCCGACTGCTCTCCCTGCCTCCTCCGGGCTCTCGGGACCGCGGGCGTTGGGACAGTGACAGGGGCTGGGGAGGTGGAGGGCTGGGGGGTGTGAGGCTCCGCCGGAGGCCCGCCGGGCGCGGGAAGCCGTTAGAAGCGAGCGTCGGGCCGCGCGGAGCTTAAGTCTTGGCAGGAGCATGGCTGTCAGTGAGCGGGCGGGAGTTGGAGGCCGCCCGCCGCTTCCGCGCGGAGGCTTTCGTTAGGCGCGGGGCACCGGCCCAAGAGGTAGAGCAGGTGGACCCTTTGGCGGCATTGAACCCGAGAGCTGGTACTAGACGGCCTCTCTGGTGAGAGTAAAATCCACTGTGCCTTGGGCTTCCCTGGTGGCCCAGTGGTTGAGAGTCCGCCTGCCGATGCAGAGGACGCGGGTTCGTGCCCCGGTCCGGGAGAATCCCACGTGCCGCGGAGCGGCTGGGCCCATGAGCCATGGCCGCTGAGCCTGCGCGTCCGGAGCCTGTGCTCCACAGCGGGAGAGGCCACAACAGTGAGAGGCCCGCATACCGTAAAAAAAAAAAAAAAAATCCACTGTGCTCTAGTTGTGCCTTCGTGCCTGGGTGACGGTAGTGGAGCCATTAAGTATTACTGAGCGCACACAGAAGTTCTCTAGATCCATATATCCGAGGAAAACGGTAATAGGCGCGACCACCCAGCATTAAAGAAGAGTCTCTGGATCGCTGAGACTCTTCTTAGGAAACCTACATGAAGTCATAGAAAAAGTCCAAAATGTGCAACCATATCGCTTTTTGTGAGAAGTTTTGTTTTGCAAGCCACGACTGGGGTTTGGGGGTGTTTTGTTTTTTCTGTTTGAGCACATAGTTATGCCGTTTGGAAATTCAGGGACTGTGGAGAGGAGGACAGGCATGCCTTAAATAGAATGAGGGCAACAGTAGAGCACTGAAAGTCCTAGGGAAGGAGATAGACTGCTTATTTCTTAATTTATTTATTTTTGGCTGCATTGAGTCTTCGTTGTTGGGTCTTTGTTGCGGTGCGCGGGCTTCTCATTGCAGTGGCTTCTCCTGTTGCAGAGCACGGGCTCTAGGCACGCGGGCTTCAGTAGTTGTGGCACGTGGGCTTAGTAGTTGTGGCTCCCGGGCTCTAGAGTGCAGGCTCAGTAGCTGTGGTACATGGGCTTAGTTGCTCCGCGGCATGTGGGATCTTCCCGGACCAGGGCTCGAACCCGTGTCCCCTGCATTGGCAGGCGGATTCTTAACCTCTGTGCCCCCAAGGAAGCCCCTAAAGTGCTTATTTCAATAGATAAAATGAAAATGTGGTCAGAGAGAATTTGTGGTAGAACCTGAGCAAGCCACGTTGCCAGGAATTTGCAAAAGCCTTTAATATACAATAATTTCCGTTGCAATAGAAAAACTTTATACAGTTACTGATGTACCAACTTATGTTAGCCGGGGGAAAAAGTTTACACACCTGGTTGAATGTGTTTGCCAATTATATTTATTCAGTTTCCTGTTAAAAAACCAGAACATGGCCTGGAAAATCCTCATTGTTTACCTGTGACATTATTTCCATGAAGAGTAATCATCCCAGAAACTATTAGAGGCCCTTGGAATAGATGCATCTGACCTCTTCTAACTATCCCATTTAAAGGATAGCATCTGAAGGTTTAATAACAAAAAGCAGTTGAAGCATTCCAAGCTGGATAATCAGGTTAATTTCTAAGGGTGGTGAATAAAAGCATCAATGTCTCTGCATCCCAAGACCCTTGCTCTCTCTGTGTTGTATTCTGGCTTTTTTGGCTTAGCTCGTGCTAAACTGCCTTAGACATTATTTTCCTTGTCTATTTATCCGATCCTTTTCAGATCTCACATCCCAGCTCAAAAGTCTCATCTCTGGGAAGCTTTTCCTGCTTACTTCAGCTCAGAGTGTTCTTGATTTATTCTAAATCTAATAACGCTTTTTGGGGTATTGCTCATTGGGCTTTGGAACACTGTCTTTGCTGTTTAAGTTCCATGGTTATGTGCTGTGCCTTCCAACTAGATTGTCAACTCTTGACCACTGACTGAGAGCTCATTGTTACTCAGCAAACGATGAATAAATGAGTGAGAAATTTCCTGTGTAAGCCTTGTCAATTTGAACCCTTTGCCAGTTATACACAGTTCAGCACCACTTAGGTGGAAAAATCATTGTAGACACTTGACATTGTTATGAAGAGTTTTATATTTTCAATCTGCAGTTTGAGAGGCTACATGTGTGACTAAAGTGTATGTCACTCTTCTTAACTGAATAACCCCAGAACCACCAGGTTTGATGCTTGAAGGAGAGTCTGCTGTTGGGAAGAGTGGATGGATTATGCAGCCCTGTTTTCTGAGAATTCACTTTGTTCTTGGAGTTTCTCACTACTTGCTGCCACTACCGCTTGGCCTCAAAGTATAAGCATGTTAACCCTTCTTTCCTTAATACTTTACTTCAAAGCTGAGGAGAGACTGAATTTGGATCCTTTAGCAGTACCACTGGAATATTATACATACTTTAGGGTAAGATGGGTATTTAAAAGTACTTTCCTAATAGAAAAAACTGAATGGATATTAGAAACATAAAATAAGGGTAATCTTATGCACAAAATATAACTACTCACGTTCAACTTTTGTTTACTACAGAGATGCCACCTCCCTGTGGCAAAGGCCATTTTTTAACTGGTCTTCCCAAGGAATAGCTCCTAGACAGCTTCACTCTTTAAGTTCTGGCCTGAGCACAGAGGACAGGAGAGTTCATTTGCTTGCCTATATAAGGGTTTCTCAACCTTAGCACTACTAACATTTTGAGCCAGATAATTCTTTTTTTTTTTTAATTGAAGTATAGTTGATTTACATTATTATGTTAGTTTCAGGTGTATAGCATAGTGATTCAGTATTTTTGCAGATTGAACTCCATTATAGGTTATTGCAAGGTAATAGCTATAATTTCCTGTGCTATACAGTCTATCCCTCTTGCTTATCTATTTTATACATAGTAGTTTGTTAATCCATACCTCTAATTTCTCCCTCTCCCTTTTGGTATCCACAGGTTTGTTTTCTGTATCTGTGAGTCTCTTTCTGTTTTGGATATACAGTCATTTGTATTAATTTTTAGATTCCACATATAAGTGATATCATATAGTATTTGTCTTTTTCTGTAAGCCAGACACGTAATTCTTTGTTGTGGGCAGCTGTGCTGTGCATTGTAAGATGTTTAGTAGCATACTTGGCTTCTACCCACTACCTGCCAGCAGTACTCCACCCCTAGTTGTAACAACCCAAACCATCTCTAAACATTGCCAAATGGCCCTGGGGGGGTAAAATTATGTCCCCTCCCCCCTTTCATTGAGAATCACTGGCCTATATAAGGGCTCTTCTGACAATTCTGGTTTCCTGTCCATCCCATTTGACAGCAGGAATCATCTCTCCCTTAAAGACAGAACTCCAGTTCCCCAGAGAAGAACAGCTTTGGTCTTGTTGGCCTCCACCAGGTTACCGTATCACTGGTTAATGGTAACCCCAAATATCTTACGAGAGATACTACATTATAAATAACAAGGACTTTAATTTTAGTACCTAAACAGCAAATTACCATCAACATTTTATAGGTAAGTTTACTGAGTTTCAGAATTCTTCAAGTCATATCTTCATAAGTAGGGTCATTGAGGATTTATGAAAGTTAACTATGTATTATGTAAATAGCACTGTGCTAGTGATTGGGGCAGGGGAGAAGACTTCAAAAATTCTAGATGTGTTCAAGTGTGGAGGCAGACTAGGAGCTAGGATGGAAGGCCTTCTTGTAGTGGACAGTAAAGATGAGTGTGCCTCTGGTAGTGGCATTCTAGATAATAAACTCAAATTATGAGTAAGCAAGACTTACAAATATTTGATATATGTGCAAAGTGCAGTCGCAGTGGCCTCTGTTGTGTCCTTTCTCATTCTCCTTCTCCCTCCTCACCTTTAGAATGTTTGATTATATAGCATTCCCAGTATTTGACATATCAAAGGCAAGCTACAGACAGTAATTTTTAAGAGGATCTAAAGTAGGAGATTTAAATATTAAACTTTCTAACTTGCAGGTAGAGAAGGTACTTTTTTAATGTGCATGTTTATAAAAATTTATTTTTAAAATAAATCACAGAAGAATCTCAATTTTAAGTTATACTCTCTGATACCAGAGCAATGAAAACATAAGGGTTTTTTTTTTTTAATTTTAAGTAAAAGGATGAAAAAATCCATCTACTGTACTTGGAAGCTAAGAGGAAAATCTCTTATATAATTCTCATTCAAGGAGAAAAACACAGTTGCTGATTTACAAAGTATTTTGAAATTAATGACAAGGAGAACAATAAAATTGAAACATAAAGATTCAGCTGAAGTAGTATATAAAGGAAAATCACAGATCAATATTTTAATATTAACCAATATAGAATGAATTAAAATATACCCAATGGTCTACCTATCACTCATACAGTACTTAATGTGTCAGACAATGTTGTGTTCTGAAAAAATTTACTCATTTAATCTTCACAATATACCTATGAAGCAAGTAATAGTTTCCCTCTTTTACATATAAAGAACCAAAGCTCAGAGAGGTTAAGTGTCTTTCTGAAGTTTATTCAGCTAATAAGTGATAAAGTCAATAATCAAACCCAATCTTTGAACCACTACACTATACTGCCTCTTACCTTAAATGAGAAAAACACATAAAGTTTTAAGGAAAAGCAGGTAAAATAATTAATAAAGCAATGAATTAGAATCCAGAAATACAGATCAAAAAAGGAAAGAGCTGGTTGTTTGAAATGATCAATAAAATAAATATGGCAAAAGAAAAATAGCAAAGATTTTTAAACAGGAGAGATGATGTTAGAAATTAAAAAGGAGAAATATTCAGATACAAAGGGAATTTTAAATATGAGCGAATACTATGTGTAAGTCCACGTATTCATAGAAATATTTTATCGCGCACCTACCACATAACAGGCAGGCCCTGTACATGTCACTAAGGATACGGTGGTTAGCAAAAAGATGCAATTTGTGGAATTTGCTTGACAGGATACCAGAGAAGAAGGAATTTACTCCAAGAAGATTTACAGAAATCTTGAGTCTTTGGCTGACTGCTAATCTGAGCATGTGTAGAGTAATACTCCACAAGGCCAAGCAAAGATCAACTACCAAGGAAAGAACAAGTACCCGGGAGCCGTAAATTGAAAAATTCCCAGAGCTCATAACGGACTGAACAACTTCAGAGTCACCAGCTGGAGTAAAGACCTCATCGAACATCTGAGGAATTCAGTAGAGACACCTGAAGGCTTATGCCTTTAGTAATAGGGCTACCCTCGCCCTAGATTAAAAGCTACTCTCGGTTTAACCTAACAACGTTTAAAAACAAGCCTTGAAAGGATAAAGCTGATCCACAATAACTTAACTTCCTGCCAAAACAAGACTCAGTACTTAAATACACACAAAATTAAGACAGTCAGCAATATAATGTTCACAACGACCAATATACAATAAAAAATTACTAGATATGTGAAACTTCAGCAAAATTTGATCCATAACTGGGAGAAAAATCAGTTAACAGACCAAAGATGACAGAGATCAAAGAATCAGCAATAGGACCTTTAAAAAGGGCTGACAAGTAAATGTGAACATTATGATAAAAATGGAAGATATGTAAATGAATGAAATGCAACGTCTGGAGATGAAAAATACAGTATCTGAAAATTTTAAAAATCAATGTAGAAGCTTAACAGCAAATCGGACACTGTAGAAGACTGGTGGGAGAGTGAGTCAAGATGGCGCTGTGGGAAGACGTGGAGTTAGCATCTCCCCACAACTAGGGCGCCTGCCAGCCGCTGTTGGGGGACTCTGATGCCCAAGGAGATGGGAGGAACCCCAGAGTGAACTGATAGGACATAGGGGGGCTGAGGGGAGAGGAGAAGTGGAAGCCAGACAAGATCAGTGCCCCTGAGGCTGGGGAGATCAGGAGAGAGAAAACTACTAGAACTAATCAATGAATTTGGCAAGGTTTCAGGATACATAATTAATGCACAGAAATCTCTGGCATTCCTATACACCAACAACAAAATATCAGAAAGAAATTAAGGAAACACTCGCATTTACCATAGCAACAAAAAGAGTAAAATACCTAGGAATAACCAGCCTAAGGAGGCAAAAGACTTGTACTCAGAAAACTATAAAACACTGATGAAAGAAATCAAAGATGATGTAAACAAATGGAGAAATATACCATGTTCTTGGATTGGAAGAAGCAATATTGTGGAAATGACTGTACTACCCAAAGCAATCTACAGTTTCAGTGCAATCCCTATCAAACAACTAATGGCATTCTTCACAGAATTAGAGCAAAAAATTTTACAATTTGTATGGAAACACAAAAGATCCCGAATAGCCAAAGCAATCTTGAGAAGGAAAAACTGAGTTGGGGTAATCAGGCTCACTGACTTCAAACTATACCACAAAGCTACAGTAATCAAGACAGTGTGGTACTGACACAAAAACAGACATATAGATCAGTGGTATAGGATAGAATGCCCAGAGATAAACCCACGAACATATGGGCACCTAATTTAAGACAAAGGAGGCAAGAACATACAATGTAGAAAAGTCAGCCTCTTCAATAAGTGGTGCTGGGAAAACTAGAGAGCTACATGTAAAAGAATGAAATAACACTCCCTAACACCATACACAAAAATAAGCTCCAAATGGATTAAAGACTTAAATGTAAGACCAGACACTATAAAACTTTTAGAGGAAAACATAGGAAAATCACTCCTTGACATAAACCACAGCAAGATCTTTTTTGACCCAGCTTCTAGAGTAACAGAAATAAAAACAAAAATAAACAAATGGGACTTAATTAAACTTAAAAGCTTTTGCACAGCAAAAGAAACCATAAACAAGACAAAAAGACAACCCTCAGAATGGGGGAAAATATTTGCAAATGAAACAACAGACAAAGGATTAATCTCCAAAATATACAAACAGGTCATGGAGCTCAATATCAAAGAAACAAACAATCCAGCTAAAAAATGGGTGGAAGACCTAAATAGACATTTCACCAAGGAAGAC